AACAACCAGCTGAGCGGTGAGTCAACATGTGATTTGATGACTGTTCCACGACCGATTTTGCGGCGAGTCCCGTGTACGAATCTCGCTGATGCACGTGAGTGGACGCCAACTTCCACGCAATGGGTGGGAAACAATACATGTTTCTGTGGAATTCTGAATGTTGAGGAACTGTGAAACTCTCCTTTGCCCACGCAGTAGGCGAGTAGGTGGTCTAGAAGCCGGGGAAACATTTTGGTTAGTTCTCTGATAAGTTCGTTTTTGCTCTCCCGTTTGCAGATCCTTTTCCGCCGTTTGCTTCTGTCAAGTTGATCCACTCTAATAAATGCACCGATCACGCCCGTGTCCACGCAGGGCTGTGGGACACCCTCGGGCAGAAAGAGGCTGGTTCGATTGCAACCCGGCCAGGTGGGTTGGATGAGTTGCTCCACGACGTTGTTTTGCGGGCATGTAGAAGTGTGACGGGACTGATGTAAACATGATGCACCCAATTTTCGTGTGTTTTGCAGTCGACAAGTCTGATCCTTGAGAGTTCGGGAGCTCAGGTTGGAAAAATGGACTCGCTCAAAGGCCCCCGTTGTATTTTGTACTCACGCATTGCGGTGTAAACAAAACTCGTGTGTGTCTGCTCAGCGCGTGCAGAAATCGTTCAGAGGATGGCGAGATAACTTCGAAGCTTTTGCATATCGCTTGACATGCTTTTCACATGCGGCCCGACCCGATCTTCCCTTATCAGTCTGTTGGATATTGCCACACAACGGCCGGTCGCTGTGGTGTCTCGTGTGTGTTTGTCCACGTTGTTGACACATCAAATCCCTGAATTCAAGAGATGGCACCAAGTTTCTCTTCCTGCCTGATTCGGAAGATATTTTGGGTTGTCAGTGGGCACCAAGCAATTTTCAACATATTTTTTCGGCGAGACGGTACAGCTCCTCCGCAGCCTATACACGTGCAATGTGGACATAGAGGCGTGAGTCATGTAGATGCACGCACACCCATCTCGGCCGTTGACCGCGCGATTTTGCATGTTTCCGCCCAACCACAATGTTGTGCGTTCCAGGTACCCTTCCGGTGGCATTAGCCTCTCTTCTGGACAGTTTTGACAGGCTTCACAGTGTTGGAGGGTTGGACCTTTCCCAAAACCCGTGGGAACACCCTCCCGAGGCGATCGTGACGGGTGGTATGCTGGCGGTGAGAGGGTACTTCGAAGCCATCTTCAGGGGCGGAACTACCGTTGTGACCCGACCGCTCAAGGTCGTCATCGTTGGAATGGAGACTGTTGGCAAGACAAGGTGCGAAGCTACCACTTTGTGGTTCTCCAATTTTCTCGTGCGCACAAAATCGATTGTGCGGAATTATAATTTTTAGTGCTTCCATGTCGCCTTCCGATAAGTGCACCCGTCGTAAAAGGACCATATTGTGCAGCTTATTTGTTGAAATGTGGAGGCTAGTTCGTTTGCAATTGCGTGTAAGCGCTGTTAAACCATGTCCTTCAGGGAAACGTGCTCCAACGAATGCACCCTGCCATCCCCGCAGCATGGCCAGACCGGTATTTTGTCGGTGCTTCTGAGCAATATAGTTGGTGTGGCAAAAAAAAACTTTTGACTTTACTTTTGGGAACGTTGTTTTTTTCGCGGAAGTTTGATCAGGACCGGGCGCATTTTGGTTGAAAATCTAGCTGTTACGAGTACGAGTCGACGCGACCGCGTAGCGGGTCAGCATCGTGCGTTGCCCTGACATGTTGTACTGAACACCGGGGCTGCTTGGGCGCTGAGGAGAAGCCTTGAGCGACATCAGATTACGTGCGGGCGTTCATGATCGCTTGAATGGTTGGAGACAATTTTACTCATACTATGCACTCCATGCACTGCCGCAGTTTGCGGTGCAGCATCAAGGCCGGGAAGCCGTGCATGACGAGAGGGGGTGGTGTGGACAGCACTGTCCATGTGGATGTCCAAGACCACAACCTCGATGTCCAAGACCACAAAGCCGGTGGTCACCCAATTAGAATTTTCGATTGTGCCGGCCAGGTGAGACACATCATGTTCCTTATACGCGTTGAGTTGACCCAATCAGTTCGCCTACGTGCTGGGTCGGTGTGTTTTTTCATTTGCCGTGCTGTGGTTGTCCTCAAAGCTGGAGGTCGAGATAGCTTCATGCGGTCTGGTAGCTTCTAACCGTAGTTCACAGGCTGTCGCAAGGCGTCTCTGCGATTACAGCATGGGCTGTAGATTTCGAAACCAGTCAACGCGGGCTCACTGCCACTGATGCTCTTCAGCGTACATCGCGATATGTTCCGTTTAACTTACTGTGAGTGGGTGTGTCCGTCCTCATTGTGGTCAAAAACATACTATCCGCGGTCGACGTCGTCTGTTCGAAGTTCGGTGTGATACCTACGTGATACCCTGCGACGAAAATCATTGCGTCTGTAGTGTTTTGAACCCCGGCAGTATTTGACCTGGTCGGTATCCTATGAATCTGCGCCCGTAGCTCAGATCACTTCATTAGACCCAATGTTTCCAGTCATTTGAACCTCTCCAACGTGTCCATCCTACATTTCAACCGCTGGACAGGCTGCCTACTACGGACTGCTCCAGCTGTTTCTCACCCCTCGTGCTGTATACCTATTGGTTTGGGATGCGGAGAAAGCCAGCCAGATGGACGAGTTGAACCTTGAAGATCTTGCCATTGCTCCCTGGCTGAGGCAAATGACTTTCCGAGTGCCGGACGCAAACGTGGTACTTGTGGGGAACAAGTGGGATCTCGTAGCAGAGGCCAATCTACATGTAGCGGATGACGTAGAACGAAAGAGCCGCGAGTGGTTGACTGCCTGGATAGAGAGTGCGCACCGGCATCAACCCCCACAACTTTCGTTAGAAGCCGGCGTCAGTCTTGTGAGCTGTGCGCCGTCTGGCCGAGCCGGCTGGGCACCATCGTTCGGTGGGAGAAAAGCATGGCCCTGCGACAAGAATAAGCCGGGGCAGCCGGGGCTTTTCCGTCGCATCATATACAACCCTGTCGATGACATGAGGGCTGTTACGATGCGTCTTTCGCCGGTGTATGTACTCGCCCTTAATTTGCTTGAGGAGCTGGCGTCACGCAGTAGGTGAGATCATCGATGCCTGTCTGTGTTTTAACTTCATGTCGTGTGAAGTACTTTCCCACGCAATCCTACGATATGTGACACACTGAGCAACGCCTTGCTTGTTTCCCGCTCAAGCATTTGTGGATGGCGCACATCGTTGCTCGACAGATGATCAAAACATTGCGCCACGATTGTCCTTGCGATTGTTTTCATGTTGTCGTCGCGGGTGGATCATGAATGTTCCACGTCCTCATGACTGCGACCGTGTGTTAATTAGGCCCGAGGCCGGACAACAAACCCGGGTCATGACAAGAGCGAGTTTGGAGGAGGAGTGGAAAGTCAGGGTAGATGCGCTGGGCACAGCTGGAACGACGGCAGCAGCTTCAGAAGCAGCCTTGTCTGGTGCAATCTTGATCAGGTAAATTCCCGGCTTGACTGGTTTTGGGTTGGCTTGATTGATGCTCGCCTCGGGGACACCAGGTTTCCAAACTTTGTATATGTATGATCAGGTTGTGTAGATGTCGTATTTTGAATGTGTAAAAAAAGTTGCAGCACATGAGAAGTGAAACGGTTCACGTGGACACGAGTAGGAGAATCTTCACAGCTAGTAGAGTTCGTGCAGGTTTGAAGTCTGCATTGCGTCCCTTTTGTTGTCGGGCCCGGCTCTGTGTTCATTTACAGGAAGTGGGAGGGAGGACTGGTGGAGTATGGCAACTACATCTTCCTTGACGTCGGATGGTTTGCAGATGTTCTGGACCCGTTGTTCAGTCACAAGAAAGATTCAAATGGCATCATTTATCTCGGTGGCAAAACGGTGACGAACGATGATAGCTTGAAACGGCTAGACGCAAATCATATTTTCGAGCCGCGACTCGCTGAAGATCTTTGGGGCGCAGAGCTCGCACCGCATCTGCTCTCGGCTTTGAACAGTGCAGGGCTAACGTTTCCCATTCCGAACGACCCCTTTGAGGGCTTGGTGGTGGTCTTGCGCATGGACACAGAGCCCCCACCTGACTATCGTACGATTGTCGAGGAAGAACAAGCGAGGAAATATTACGACCTCAGGCTAGTTGTGCAATGCTCGTTCAGGCTAGGGTTGCCCCCCGGCTTCGTTGAGCGTCTCCTTGCACGGTGCTGCCACTTGGGCTTTCCGCACCCCTTCTGGCGATACGGTGCTCTCGTAGTGGGTGCCGGTGCGGAAGAAGGAAAGTTCTCACTGACTTTGGAGTACTCCGAGGAGGACAAGACCCTGAAAGTGCAGGTGAACGGACGATGTAGTGAGGTCCATGCTTGGGCGACTCTGTCGAAAGTGCTCTCCGTGACGATCAAGATGCTCTCGGAGTTCCCTGGTTTACCGTGCCAGCTGGAGTTTCTCTGCCCTCGGCACGAGGACAAGAGCATGCGCGTCTTGAAGGCCAACAATGTAAGCGCCCCATTTCGCTGCGTCAAAGGGTTTAGATTCATTCCTACAAGTAGTCCCATTCTTAAAACACATCACACACTGCAACAACGCTTAATGCTGGCTAAAAAGCACGGTCGCTGTCGCAACGTGTTGCGGAAATGTCATGCATTTTGTTTTTGTTTTTTCACGTTATGGACCACTATGAGCAGTGCCACTTCATTTTCACACACCCGCTTTTTGGCAGGCACGGCCTGGATCCCGCTTGGTGGAGGAGGGCAATTTTTGTCCCGTCTGCCCGGACCGCACGGCGGGCAACGACCTTCTAGGAGCTGCTCTACATGTGGTGGAGTATTCAGACACGGAGTTCTCCGATGCACAGCTCCGTAAGCGGTTTGCCGATAATGCCAAGAGGGTGGCTCGTCAGGGTCGTGCGCTCTGGCCGGCATCGGTGACGGAGGTGGGTTCTTCTACCACAATTGCTTCCATGTACAAACCACGTGCAGCACAAAAATGTCGTATTCCCATGAACACCGGTCCTTTGTCTAAACCATGTGGTTCAACTCAACCTGTTTGCATTGAAACATTGGGCTGCTCAGGCCTCTGCGAATTGTTTTTTGACCGTCGCAGAACTCAACTGTTTGTACAGGTTTCTGATCCGGCGCCCCCCCAGATCAGTCCGATCAGCCCAGCATCTCTACAGACCAATCCGAGCAGCCAGGTATGTTCAACGTTATCACAACTCCTACGGTACAAGCGATGTTCAAGTTACTAGCTGCGTATGGCCTAGAAAAGCGCGACAAGATGGCCGAAATTGTGTGCATTCCACCTTGATATACCGCGTTCAATTCCATGGCTTCCATTTTACATGGGCTTCGCCCCCAAATGATCTCGCTGAATCCCGAGCATGGCGTGTTGTCTACATGTACGTGTTTTACTTCCCGTAGCTCATTTCGGTTTGACTTTGCTGTCGAAAACACATCGAGGGGTGGCGACAATCCACGTCCGGTATATATATCCTTGCCGTTAGTTTACTACAGGTAGCGCCCGGAGATAGTAAACGTCAATTTCGGGTTGAGACTCAATTTCATGTTTTAGCCCGAAAAAACTAGCCAAACTCGTGTTGTGTCTTAGATTGAAGTTTCTTATTTTATGTGCGGCCGGATCCTGCTGTCATCTCTCCATTTTCTTATTTTCTCTGCTTGCTTCACGTGCTCAATGCCTCAAATCTGCTCATTTGCTTGCCTCTGGGTTTCAGACGGCTGTAAAACAATCTGAACAACAGAAAGCAAGCGACAGAGATGGCGGTCTCGCTGGCGCTTCAAGGCGCTGTACCCCCACCCCATGAGTGAGGGCCGACACTAAAAAAAACGTCAACACCGCACGATGTTTCGCCCTAGCACTGAGACATCAACACACCAAAATCACCCTACATTAAGCTGCAAGCCCCGTGAGGGCACATACCCCTGTTAGCTTGTTTCTTATATCTTGAGGCATCGACCACCTCCTGTTTCTTATTGGGATGTTTCTTATCTTGTCCCGCAGAGCGAGCTATGTTTGTTAACCCCATTTTCTTATTTTTCGCGAAAAACCTGAGCCTCATTTCTTAACTTAATTTTTCTTCAATCCCGGGCGCTAACTGTGCACAGGATTCGCGGACGCCACGGTATCAGGACCGGATGAGGGCGTGGGTAAAGGACCTGAGGGTGCAAGTAGGCGCAGCCGGTGCGCTCTGTGTCACTGTATTTGGGGTGTTTTATGCCAAGGAAGATGACGACCCTCGTCTATGGGGGTTGTTTCTGGGCATTGGCTTGGTGCTCGCGGTCGTGGAGTTTGTTTTAGTTGCCAAACTGCACGAGCGTTGGTGCTTCAAATCACCAAGGGTGGAGGCGGCGAGCGCTGGAAATCAACAAGGGTGTGTGGCCGTGTAGACCCTGTGCTTGTTTGAACAGGGAGTAAGCTAGATGTTGGCAGTTCAGGGCTTCCGAATTAACGCTTCGCTCCTGAGGTTACAGGAATAAGAGCTCTCACGCCCGTTGTGGAAGGAAGTGGAGTGATGAAGCTTTTGGTATGGCTACTCAGGAGCATATTCTGAGATATAAGCGGTACACTCGCAACGTAGGAGTAAGTACTTGATCGCAAAGTCCCCCAACACAACCAACTGGTGATACGCGACGCCACGAAGTAGCGGCTAAGTCTAAACGAGAACCAGTAGGTTCAGGCCAGGTGGGCACATCATTCTAAACGCACAGCAGAGCTCTATCGCATGTTTGATCTGTCGGTAGTTTAAATTGTGCCGGTGGTCATGATGATGCTGCTGTGAAGGAAGCAGCGGCCCCAATCAGTAGACCGGGTGAAACGGGTGGCGCAATCACGGACATATTTGTAGCAGAGTTGGGCATGAGGAATTTGTAGCAGAGGGGGGTAAGGTAAAGCACGGAGTAGCACCTTGGGAGGAAAACGCACCTTCAAATCTGCCACGCCTACCTCGTCCACTTTTGCAATGAATATGGCGAGTTGGGTCGCCAAGGCAGAGAAGAGGAATGAGAATGCGTAGTGCCTGCTGCGCCCGGCAGGATTGTCTTTTTCGACACGCAACCATGTTGGTGTACTGCTATAGATGGAGTACAGCAGACGGTAGGCTCGATGAGTATGGATGTGAAGGGTAGGCATAAGATATCCAACCAAGGATAACCGTCGTGGTCAGGACTATATGGCGTAGAGGATGTATCAGTAGGTACGTAGGCTGGGGTTCGCTCTTGGGTCACCACTTATTTTATGCCTATTTTTTGTTACTTCGAAGCGTGTTTACGACGCTACCTTAGTCGGAGAACGGGGTACTAATTATCCACGTGCGTGGCGATCGCGGTACCTCCGATCCTCACATGAGCAAAGGAGATTCGAATTCACGGCGTGTGCAAATTTCTCGTACCGAATCTTAAACGAATGTTCTCTTGATTGCGAAGCTACTGAACACGTTCGGCGAAAAGGAAAATGTCTTGATTGGTACATACATGTCAAACTTGGTTGCCAACTATTTTAGAGGTTGTAGTGCTACGTACTGCCAGCGAGGCACGAGGACCCCCCTTTCCCTGCAACCCTGTACTTCCCATGGATGCCTCTCCGCGTGCAACCTACCCAAATTCCTAGCACATCCGTGCTACCGTGCCGTGCTAAGTTCTAAAAAACGGAAAGTCTCGAGCACTTCTACGCCGGGGGGGCGCACAATTCATTTGACTCAAACGAACAATGCACGCACTTCTCTCTACCTCGCCTCATGTTTGCATGAGCAAAATGCACTACTCCCGACCTATTGGCACGCAATCTGTTCTGCCCGAAGTTATCAAGAGCACGCACTCAACCGGCCGGGTAAAATACGTATGATAGCTCCCACCGCCAGACCCTTCACACTTGAGTAGATGTACCTATTAGCGGACACCCCCCTATTAGCGGACACTTTTTTTTCAAATGGACGTACCTCCGCGCACAATCCGCGGAGACCCCTGATTTTTTTTTTTTAATTTTCAAGCTTTCCGTTAGCTTTCGTTCGAGCACCTCAGCGTGCCGATCAGGTCAAGCACTCGCGAGATACAGCACAGACCCCACCCACACCCGCTATGCGGGGAATCTTCGCCCTTGTCGGGTTCCTGCTGCTAAGCATGGGCCGGCCAAGAGTGGACGCACAGCAGGCCCAGAAGGCCTGTGAAGCGGTACGCAGTGCGGAAGATCTGCCTCGACGGACGCGAGGTGCCGTGGGACCCAGACAAGGGCCCGGGGCGCAGCTGGCTTGACGGGTTCTTCAAGAGGCACAAGGAGTTATCGGAGCGAGCTACCCACATCTACGAGGCAAACCGCATCAACGAAGACGACGAGCCTCGCATTGAAACTTTCTACAAGGCATGGGCAGCGTACCTCCAAGAGACCCAGCTCACGCCGGACCGCATCATCAACACGGATGAGACAGGTGAGTTAGGGCAAGGGCTGAGGTGTCAGTGGTGTCATTATCCTCAGTATCGACTGCTGTGGGTTCGTAGGCGAGCTACCAGCAGCACTGCGATGTGTCAAGACAAAGCGGAGTTCTGCTGCTGAAAAAAATAAAAATAAAAACTGTTCCCCCGCAATCTTTCCGCTCCTGGTCGCGACTACTGCACCTCCCGACAAACCCCGTGTTGACGCTGAATCCGGCTGAGGTTTGACCCTGCAGCAATGTCTATGGGCATCTTACAGTTGTTGTACTCTACTCTACCGCAGAAATAGTAGGAGTCTTCGTGATGCTTTTTTTTTCCCACACACACCGCGGCTGCGTGTGTGCGCTCTCCTGTGTTTCTCCGCTTGCATGCGTGTTGCCTGAACGCTTCGCAAAGTGTAGACTAGTCTGCGATGCCGGATGCAATGACCGACGTGTTTGGCCCCAAGAGCGTCAGGTAGGACCGAAAAGAGGGTATGTAGAAGGGAGGAGGGGGTCGTGAAACGCGGTCTCCCCGCTAAACTTAACGCATATTTTAGCATTATTATTTTGCACTCTTCTATCGTACTCAATCACAAAAATCGATACCGCGTAGAACACCAAAAAACTACATCCTCACCCTCCTGGGTATGTCCTCTATATGTCTCTACACTATTGTCCTAATGAATGGATCAGCCAACCGATACTAAGAACGAAGATAGCCTCACCCCTGTGGGGTTGCCTGACCCTCACGTCTACTACAAAAACAAAACAACACTAAAATTCCTAAATAATCTACCCTTTGTTTGCACTCATTGTACGTGGACACTAGGGCGACAACCGATTTTGTGCAACCTGATCCCCCCCCTCTCTTGAGCAACAGGGTGGGCGGGTGAGAAAGTCGATCAATCCTAAATTCCACCTATCTCCTCCTTTGTTACGTCTCTCTCGCGATTCAGCTAGCTGAGGTCTCTACTGGCTACTGCTGTTATTATACCATTTGCCATCCGTTTGTGGGTCGGTAGCCCCGTACATATTCGGGTGGGGGCACGTACCCCGCTGGGGCATTTTTTTTCACATGATACGGCTGTTAGGTTGCAATACGCTCTCTGTTCACGGCTTCAAACACCTCCTTCCGCACCGTTGGATGGTGGTCTCTGGTGGGGTTGATACAGGACCTCTCCCGCAATTGTGTTCAAGAAAAACGCCGAAAAATTCGTTTGTGATTATTATTACTATTTCGTGTGCACTCCGACAGTTGCAGAGATATCCAATATTTGTGATTGTTTCTCTACACAGGGTGTTGATGTGCTTGTTCGCGGAGGGGATTGTGTTGCTGTTGATTGTCACGCTCATGAATCTGGATTTGTGTATTGAGTGTTGTCTGTACAATCCTCTACGGCGTAATACCTGCCCAGAACGTTGTGCCCCACCGCGTTTCTTCCAGAATCAGGCTGTCCTTACTCTTCCCTCTAAAACCCCATGAAAAAACCCACGCCACCAAGAAGGAAAGTGGAGGGAAAAAAAAAACTCCTGTGTGACCCCGGCTGAATACGTCAAACATATATACCGAAAGTTGTGCAGACTGGCGCCAGAATAGAAGGGGGTAAACGCACACACACGCACACACACACACACTTTTACCCGCTGAGACCGACGTCTTTTCATTGGTCAGCCGGTTAGCGCGGTCGATGCTAATGATAAAACACACACACACACACACACACACACAGACACCAAACACACACACAGGCCCTAATTCATGTGTTAGGCATTTTGAAATAGTCAGCCAAATAGTCAGCCACCACCTGTATGTACACCCCCGAACAGAAACGAAACAGGCCCTAAATAATGTGTCAAGCCTTCATACCCAAAATAACGATGTGTTAAGCCCAAATAGCCGGGCGCCCGTGCACATAACCCCGTTCAACCCCCCACAGGCAGGCCCTAAGCCCCATAAAAAAATAGCTAGTCGCCCGTGCTTCCCCCGCTGCAGTATATGCAGCTGGCGTTCAGGCGCAGTTGCCACCAAGGTCTCGTGCCACTCCCGCCCTTGTTCTCGAGGGGAGCGGTGACGCCGAACAACCCTTCTTCCTCCGCACGAACGGGTGAAGAAAGCCCGGCCTGGCAATATATCTGCGGCGGGAAATATTGGGGGCGGTGGGGTATTACGATTGAAGTTCGTGCAATGAGATATCGTAAAAACACACACCGTCACAAATCCGGTGGTAGACTGCGTTTCCGACTGCTTATCCGGGAGCGCGGAGCGAGGCCAGCAGCCTGTAGAAGCTACAATATAAACCTGTATTTGTCGAAACAACAACACACCTCCAAAAGTCCTCAGGTAGAGCATGCTTCTAACCGCGGGCCTCCCCGGGAGCCTCTCCGCCATGTGCCCGCCGCCCGCCCCCTCCTCCATTTCCACAGAGTCTCCTCCGGTCCCGGCCCCACCTTACGATTTAAGTTTGTGCAATGAGATATCGTACAAAAACACACCTTCAAAAGTCCACTGGTAGACTGCGTTTCCGACCGCTTAACCGGGAGCGGGGAGGCAAGGCCAGCTGCCTGTAAAAGCTACAACATAAACAAAAACACGCCTTCAAAAGCCCTCCGGTAGGTTACGCTTCTGACCGCGGGCCTCCGCGGGAGCCTCTCCTCCATGCTGCCCGCCGCCCGCCCCCTCCTCGGCCTGGGCTTGACCGAACCCACCCTCGCCCCCTCCGACTTCGGCTGGGGCTCCACTGGTGGCCTCCTTCTCAATTTCCACAGAGCCTCCTCCGGTCTCGGCCCCACCTGCAATGATATATCGTAAGACACACACACCGTCACAGGTCCGCTGGTAGACTGCGTTTCCGACCGCTTATCCTGGAGCGGGGAGCGAGGCCAGCAGCCTGTAAGAGCTACAAAATACACATGTATTTATCAAACAAAACACACCTTCAAAAGCCCTCCGGTAGATCACGATTCTGGCCGCGGGCCTCCGCAGGAGCCCTCCTCCGTGCAGCCCGCCGCCCGCCCCCTCCTCGGCCTGGGCTTGACCAACCCCACCCTCGCCGCCTCTTCAATTTCCACAGAGCCTCCTCCGGCCCCGGCCCCACCTTACAATTTAAGTTTGTGCAATGATATATCGTAAAAAAACACCTTCAATAGTTGGGTGGTAGACTGCGTTTCCGACCGCTTATCCGGGAGCGGGGAGCGAGGCCAGCTGGCTGTAGAAGCCTCAAAATAAACAAAAACACACCTTCAAAAGCCCTCCGGTAGACCACGCTTCTAACCACGGGCCTCAGCGGGAGCCTCTCCTCCATGCTGCCCACCGCCCGCCCCATCCTCGGCTCGGGCTTGACCGACCCCACCCTCGCCCCCTCCGACTTGGGCTGGGGGGGGCCAATTTCCACAGAGCCTCCTCCGGTCCCGGCCCCACCTGCAATGATATATCGTAAAAATACACACCGTCACAAGTCTGCGTTTCCGACCGCTTATCCGGGAGCGGGCAGCGAGGCCAGACTACTTCAGTACTACACATCAAACACACCTTCAAAAGCCCTCCGGTAGACCACGCTTCTGGCCGCGGGCCTCCGCGAGAGCCTCTCCTCCGTGCAGCCCCCCGCCCTCCCCCTCCTGGTCCGCTGGTTCGGCTTGGGCATGACCGGCTCCGCCCTCGTGCTCTCCGGCGGCGGCCGAGGCTCCACCGGCGGCGGCATCCTCTGCTTGGGCTTGGACTCTCCGACTCCACCCTCGCCCCCTCCGACTTCGGCCGAGGCTCCACCGGCAGGCTCATCCTCGTTTTCCACAAAACCTCCCCCGCCTTCGGTCGCAGCTTGAACAGTGAGGACGAAAGATTCGGGGAGTGTGTCAACGAGCTGTGGGTATCAACGGGAAGAAACTACACGTCTATCAAAAAGGGAATTGATCATCATCCACGCACCTTCTGCAGCTTCGTCTGCAGAAAACGCTCTTGCTCCGCCTGCTGCTCTTGCTGCCGCTGCTTCTCCAGACGATGCTGCTGGTGTTGCTGCTGCACCTCGTTTTCCTGTAGATAGAGCAGCTCCTGGTCTCGTCGCTCTAGACCGGGCTGGTGTTGTAGCTGGTACCGCTCTTCCCTCTGCTGGCACTGCTGCTGGCGCTGCTGCAGAAAAAGCTGGTGCAGCTCCGCAAAAAACATGTCGGAGGGGATGGCGGGGGCGGCGGGAGCTACGGCTGCGTCGGCGGCGGTGGTGTCCTCCATCTCCTCTTGCTCCACGTGGGGTTCATCGCCCGCGTCAACCTAACAAGAGGGAGGGAGAAGGCATGTGTTAAAAGCACTTTCAGTGGGAGAAACGGCTCTTGCTTCTTCTCTTGAGTCCCGTTGATCGATCAGAGGAGAGACCGTGAGTAAGCAAAAAAGCAGCAGCATCAGCAGCAGCAGCAGCAGCAGCAGCAGCGGCGGCGGCGGCGGCGGCGGCGGAGCTGCGGCAGCAAACTACTGTACTGTACGTCGATCCTTCTCATTTTATTTTCTTCGTGTGTTTCGACTAGAAGGCTACGCGTTCGATGCGATGCCACAGATGACGCTTGCTGTAAAACGCGTAACTTGGCTGGATCCGCGCATGAACCTTATACTAGCAAAGCCGGTGACATGCCACATGATAAGAAAGCAGGCAACGTGCTGTTGTTGTCAGATGCGGACCAAAAACAAAAAGATTGTTCTCACCTCTTCTTGCTGCTGCAAACGTTCGGCACCACTGTCGGCAGAAAGGGAGCTTTGGCCACCGCTTCCGGCTGTCTCAGTGTGCCGCTCTTGTTTGCGTCGCACACCACTCTTTCTTGTCCTTGCCACGGTGAACGTGCATTTCTGGAAAATGAGCGGGGCTCCGTACAATCAT